CCATAATACAAGATTCTTTGTGCCACCCAGATGCAACATGTTTTTCTATTTTTTCAAATAGTCTAAAATGCGAACCGACAAAAGCGCCTTATTGAATATGAATTTTTATTGAAAAAAAGTTTTTTTTTAATTCGGTTGAATTTAAACTATCATGTGGAAAAAATAAACTTTATTCTTGAAAGTTATAAAAATATTTTAAAATTCGCTAACAGGTCTAGTTTCAATCCATTTTTTGACATTTGGAATTGATTCAACATTATTTTTAACAGCAATTAAATTTTCATACTTTTCATACGGTGTTTTTCCAGCAAAAGCTTCAATATTTTCAAGAATAACTTTTAATGCGAAATCAGCCAAGGTTAACTTAAAAAAAATAAATATAAGTTTAGATTTTAGTAGTGATAATAAAATTAGTTATAAATTTATACTTTTTTAGCCACCATGTAACCATTATTTTCTTTGGCGATTTTATCCAATTTTTCTAAATAATAGGGAAGTGTTTCTTCCATAGATGTTTTCTTCATTGATTCTTTTATTGTTTCATCTGTCTCATAAACAAATCGAAATGTTTCTAAAATTAAAAGAATATAACAAATAAATAAAAAAAAATATTAAATATTTTTTTACTAAATCTCAAATCAGATATTGTGTCTACGATAGCATCAATTTCCAAAGTTTCCCAATCGTTAGCTCCCATTAATCCAACTTTTTTAGCTGCATACCTAGCGATAGCTGTACTTTGACACACAACTATTCCATTTTCTTCTAAAAGTGGTAATTGACCAAATGGGGTTTCTATAAGATAATCAAGTAGTATATCACAAAAAGTCTTAACAATATTTTTTGAAATTATTCTTTTATATAAGAATTTACGTAGGTATACGTACTAGGTTTTAAACGTTCCCATTCGCTACTACTTGGAATTACACGAATATCTTCAAACTCCACATCACCGTAGCTAAAGAGGAGACGTGTTAACTCAGCCAACCACCTTCCATTAAAGTATGTCAATTTTGGAACCATTCTATTTAAGAAAATAAACAATATCTTTTTCTAATTAACAAAATATTCGTTGATTTCTTGAGTCTGTATGGAACTGTATAAAATTTGTATTTACAGATTGGAAAAAATAAAGAAATTATTTAAAAATGTCACTATTATTAAACCGAGATCAGATTTGATTACCAACAAAACACGGGTTTATATCTTGAATTATTTTATTTCTGAACGTTATTATATACACAAACGATATCGAATTTCGTTTATAAATGACCAGAAATGATTGATATCAACTCGTATTTATGGTATCATACTAGATTACCCCTTCTCATTTGAACGTCATTAAAATTTTCCATCCGAAATTGGATCAATACCTTATTCCGTGGTTTTGAGCAGGATAATTTATTTAAATGCCCTAACCTTCAGGTAAATAATCATAAAAATTAACTCATTTACACTATTATTTAAATGCCTATTTAATCTTCACATTAATAATCATAAAAATGTACATCATTGTAAGTGGTTTAAAATTGTTTTAAACGATTTCAAACGTTTCATAAATTTTAATTTTTGTTGTAATGAATGTTTCCTCTAGTAAAAATCTACAAAACATAAGTTTATGTAAATGGAACACTTTAACTCTTTAACAGGTGCTGGATATATAGAAGCAGTATTTTGAGGGAACAACAGTAGAAAAGATTTAAACGGTACAACCCCAAATAAGTGCGTCGAGCTTGGAGGAGGTAAAAAGCACCATAAAAAAAGCTAAAATGGGTATTAAGGAAAATCGCTGGTCCAATAAACAGAGGCGATATACAAGGCCCTCGATATTGTGAGATTTGTAAAGATTCGAAGATTTCAGTAAGTTTGATACGTGGAACAAATGGATGAAAGAAGGGTTCCAAAAGGAGTAATGACAGGTTAATTGGCCACAACCCAATCAATAAGAAGACCTCGAACGCGATGGAAAAGTTACATAAAGAGGGATGCTTTGGAGTTACTTGAAGTAAGGAATTGGCGTGCGGCATAAATTGAACGAGGTTAAGGCTCAGTCTGGGCTGAAACGGCACTGGAAGATCGTTGATAGCCCACTTTATAAAATAACAGACAATGCGAGGGAAAAGGATAAACTTAAAGTACAGGGTGTTTCTAAATGAATATCAGGGTTTTAACGCTTTGTAGTATTTATTACATGATAGTTAAAATAATACTTAAATCTTGAAATGAAAGAGTAACTCAAACAGTTATAGCTACAAGCTTACAAGTGTTCTATGTGACCACCATTCATCACACGGCACATTTCAAGTCGATACGCGATTTATGCTAGTGAGGCGATGCACGATCTTGCTGCCAAATTAAGTTATTTGGTTCGTCTTCTACCAATTGGGAAAACAGCCATAGTTGTAGAGCATGAAGATAGGAAATACCAGTTACAGTTGCTTCTCTAAAGAAAAAAGGTCCATGCACTTTCCGCCGAGATATGGCACAAAAAACATTCAATTTAGGGGAGTCTCGTTGCAATTTCACAATCTCCTGAGGATTTTCTGAGGCCCACATGCGCATAATATGAGTTTTCAGATGTCCAGTGATGTGAAATGAACAACATGATCCAAAAATCGTCATGCAACAACACTTCATGTGCAAATTTGGCACGTAAACCATGATCTGTAGGCTTTAGAACCTGTAATAACTGAAAACAATACGGTTACGATACGGATTAGTTGTAACCGTTTCCGTAAAACTTTCCAAACAGGCGTCACCGGAATTGGTAATTCACGATTAGCCTTCCAAATGGATTTCGTCGGAAAGACTCTCTCACTCGCTCAACACTTTCTTCACTATCCCTTGGTCGTCCCGTACTTTACCCTTTATAAAGGCAACCGGTATTTTCAAACTGACGTAGTTACTAGTTAGTATCACTTGGGGAACCACATTTAAACTTAATCCGGAACGCACATTGCACAGTAACTAAGGATTCGGACTTTGCAAACTGCAGAACATAAAAAGCTTTCTGTTCTCTAGTCGCCATTCTTGCTATTACCGCTTTCTAAGGCATGCTCACAAGCTTTCTAGCGCATGCGCATACCTATAAACAGAACTGTTTTAGTTGCTTTTTCATTTCATGTATTAATTATGAATTAATTTTAAGTTTCATGTAATAAATACCGTAAAGCGTTAAAACCCCGACATTTAGAAACATCCTGTATATCATTAGCGATGCTAATTAATGAAAATAGGGCCACGTATTCCCATGCCATTTTAACACTGAATTGAGCATCACTGCTAATATACGGTAATCATCACGTTGAGTGGCGCTAGCTTTTTAGGTAGGCTGATGAATGTTGATTTGAGCCAATAATCTGGGATTCATCCGGTTTCGTAGATAGAATTGAACAGGGATATCAACGCGATCAGACATTGGCCATCTTTTTCTGCAATTATTTTCAAGGTTTCTGCATATATTTGGTATGGGTCTCTAGCTTGCCATTTCTGATCATAAGGCTTGTTAAATGCCTTTTTGTGTTTTGTAGTTTTTGTAATTTTGAGAGTTGGCTCATTGATAATTGTCTAAAAAATTTTTCAATTCGAATTTCCAACCCAACCCAATGTATATTTTCCACCGAATCAATTTTTCTGTTATGCCCGTCAAGATTTTGTTGTTGGGTCTTTTAGGATCCCTTTGTTGCGTTTTTGTTTATTGGTAAGCTCTTTATATGTAGCTGGAACATCTCATATTTCTTTGCAGCCTTTCAGTCTCCTCGCAGCGTTCGTTTAGTCAGTATCTCGATGTTTGCAAGTGACCTTACCGTCGTGTGACCCCCCTTTTCTCCTTGTTGTGAACTCACGACATTTTGTTCCTTCTAAAACGATTGTATGTATTTAAAAGTTAACGTTGCTACGGTGATAACCATGTTATGATACAAACTAATGTTCTTAAATCATTACATTTCTGGGTAGTAGGCTTAGGTCGATGTTAAATTCTTTCAAAGTACGAAACTTCAAAGTATAACAAAACTGAATAAAACTTTACAATTTGATTGAATTTAGAAAATTATAAAAAATTAACTTAATTGGAGTTTCAAAAGAAAACTGACCTATCCTAGCATTACTCAATATTATTTTCAGAGTTGATTGACCTTTGTAAAAAAAACTAACTCAACTTTTCTTTTCTGGACGTCATTGCCCATTTTTTAAAACCAATCTGCCTTATAATGGTGTTTCGCATGAGAATAGAGATTTTGTAGAATACTGTGAAATACTGAAAATTCCGAGAATAAGAAAATCCTGCACTGAAACCTGACGGTTTTTGATCATGCGTTTCGATCTCAATTTTTTATATTGATGTTGAAGTTTAGTTACAATGGAGAGTTGAACCAGTGAATATCACAGCTTTGCACTATTCTTTTGTGAGTTTGGAACTTCTGCAATACACCTTTCACAACAATAAGGAGAAATGGGGGTCCCACAGCATAGTAAGGTCACTGGCAAACATCGTGACTACGACTTGCTTTTGAACGGACACTCCAGCAATCAGATATTCACTATGTTGAGATGATAGGAATGCCCGACACGCCTGTTCCGCAGATTCTTCATGAGGACTTCAATATTAATACGGCTAAAATTGCTGTAATTCAAGAATTACTGCGTTAAAATTTCTGAAGAAGATTAATTTTTGCAAAAACACTATTAGAGATGATAAATGAAGATACTGGAATAATTCTGTTGACCTCAGATAAAGGTTGACTTCACTTTCACCTCAACGGCTCCTTCACAACCAAAAAGTAACCGTCTGAGCTGCAGTTTGTAAGGCAGCTATGATTTTTTTGAGGATATTCGTGTCTTGTTTAATGTTCAATTAATTTTAAAACAGTATCAAATGTATTTGGCCTAAACTAATAATATGTAATAATTGTATCGTCGGAATCATTATAACAGAAATCTATACGTCTGTTTGAACATGTGAGGAGAACTAAATGATATTTCATAATACTTATTAACAGTTCCTAATTAAATAATAACTGTAATCTGAGAGTAGCTTTTCTGTTTCCAAGTTATACACATATCTATCATATAAGAAACCTGTATATCTGCTTGATTAATTATTTATTAATTTCGTTTTAAGAGTAGTCGTTAAATTTACTGATAAAATGGACGTGTTCTAAAAAAAATACATTTATTTGTGAGTTTGGAAGAAGCGGTAGTGTATATGAGAAGTTGATTGATTTGGTTACATAAAAAAATTCAAGGTAAGTTTGATTTTCTACAAAAATATTTACACTATTTATATCAATTTCCTTTATAATTTCTTTAAATAGAATACATATAACTTTGTAAATATCTATAAACCATCTATGATTTGCTTTAATATCAAACCAGAATCAAATTAAAATTTAAGATTGGTATAATTATAGCATCCTTTCCAATATATTTTTTTTTTAAGTGAGATGATTTCATCATAAATAATAATTGTGCAATATTTATCAATGATGATTAATACAAATTAATAAATATTACGTGAACATTTTTTTTGTAGAGTATAGTAAATAATGTGTAACGAACCTTCACTTTATTCTATTTATAAATTGATAAGATTAAATGGAAACATTAAAACCAGGTCATGATGTCTTGATTATCCCCATAATGTTTTGTTTTTACTTACAATAGAAATAAATTGAATTAAATAATTTTAGATTAATAAAATGGTACCGAAACTAACTTATTTCAATTCTAAAGGATTAAGTGAAACAATTCGATTAATGTTTAAATATGGTGACATTGAATTTGAAGATGTTCGAATTGAAAGAGTTGATTGGCCAAAATTAAAACTAGGTAAGAAGAATCATCACAACCTTTCCTTTTATTTTAATAAAAATTTATTTTAGATGCTCCTTTTGGTGAAATGCCTTTTTATGAAGAGGATGGTAAACGTGTCAATCAAAGTGGTGCTATTTCTAGATATGTAGCTAAAAAGGTCAAGTTAGTAGGAAAAGATGATTGGGAAGATTTAGAAATCGATTCCATCGTAGATACATTAACAGATATAAGAACAAGTAAAAAGAATTTTTAATGGAAACTGATTATAAAAAAATCTTTCATTTTAGAGATAATCAAAGCTTTGTTGGAGCCTAATGAAGAGGTTAAATCAAAGTTAATAAAAGTCTTAATTGAAGAAACTTTTCCGTTTTATTTAGAAAGACTTAATAAACAAGCTGTTGGTGGATATTTTATAAATGGAAAAGTATTATCCTAAATTAATTTTTATGTTAATTATTGTTAATGTGTAATTATTTAGTTAACTTGGGCGGATTTTCATGGACTAATCATTTTGGAAGCCGTTGAGCTTGTTACCAAGAAAAAACTCAACCCGGATTATCCAAATTTAGCTAAAGTAATCGAAAACGTAACAAACATCCCACAGATTAAAAAATGGATTGAAGTGAGACCTATAACGGTTACATAAAAAATTATGTTATGCCTAAAATAAAGACCTTATCTGTTACATAAACAACTTTTTATCTCATTTATTTATTTTATCTAAAAACACCAAAAAATTCCACTCCTATTAATTAAATGATTCACCTAAGAACTTTCTAGAAAAAAAGTAATATTTTTTTGTTAAATCATTCAATATCTTCCAAAAAAGTTCTAAATTTGTGCAAATCATTTACTCGATCTTAGGATTGTGTATGAGTTTGTAAGCAAACTCAATTGAAACTTATAAATACCTCGCATTCATAACGACTCAAATCAGTTTTATCACGAATTCCATACGGTTAATATCATTAATTATTCTTTAAAAAAACAATTTTTTTAAAATGTCTCCAAAACTAACATATTTTAATGCAAAAGGTCTCGCTGAATTGGTGAGATTATTGTGCAAATACGGAGATATTGAATTTGAAGATGTTCGCTTTGAACGTGAGCAATGGCCCGAATTAAAAGCGACCACTCCATTTGGACAAGTGCCGCTTTGGGAGGAAAACGGAAAAGTTGTTTCGCAAAGTGTCGCAATTGCTAGATATATAGCCAAAAAAGTTAAATTGGTTGGTGCAAATGATTGGGAAAATTTGGAAATTGATGCGATTGTTGATACAATAACCGATTTAAGATTAAGTAAGTTTAAGAAATTGCTTTAACGATTTAATTAATGCTACATTTTTAATAATTTTAATAGAATTTACTCCGATATTCTACGAACAAGATGAAACGAAAAAAGCTGCGTTATTAAAAACTTTCTTGGAAGAAACTTTATCGTTTTATTTAGATAGATTTGAAAAAATGGCTGGAAGTGGTCATTTAGTTGGAAATAAGGTAATTAACTTATTATTAATAATTTTCTTTTGTATACATGTTATTTCGTTTTTTTTTAGTTAACGTGGGCTGATTTCGATCTAGTAATTCTAAACGATGGTTTAACAGTAGTTACTGGAAAAGCAATTGATTCCAAATACGTTAATCTCTATAAAGTTATTGAAAATGTTATTTCTATTCCACAAATTAAGAAATGGATGGAAACTCGCCCCATCACACCAACGTAAAGTATTTTTTTTATTATTAATGATTTAAGAAACAATAAAATTATAAATATTAAGATTTAATTTAATGTTTTATTTTTCTTTTCCCTAAACTTTGAAATGAGTTAAAAAATAATTTAAAAAAATTTATGCAACCTAACATGCACAATACAGAAGATGCGAAAATGGCAAGTGAGGTAGGCGTCAGTATGAGTAACACTTGGGAACATTGTCAGAAGAAAGCTAAAGTTTCGAAGCTTCAAGATCACTCGTCTCCAGTTTCTCAACGATACAATGAAGCTGAAAAAATTGAAAAATTCTCGCCGAATGATTCGCCTGATCACTAGTGGTCGTTTATCAAAAATTCTCTTCACTGATGAGAAAATTTTCACGACAGACCAGAACTAACGTCAACTACTAAAGAAGGATCAACAGAAGACTACTGCTGCAAAAACCAACGGCCGAATATCAGATTGATATAATGTTAACCATTGAGCCTCGGCTTAATTCGTCAAATGATTTGTAACATCATCTGATAAAGCCGAGGCGCCACATACAATGATCAATTTTGGTGATCATTCAGCCTCGGCCGCAAGTAACCTTGCCTTTTTTAGTCAAAAAAACTTCATTTGATAAAGCCGTGGCACCACAATATGATGACCAGTTTTAGGTTGATGTAATATTAATCATTGATTCTCCGCCTAAAGCAATCTCGGCTTATTTAGTCAAACGATCTGCAAGTTTCAACTGATATGTATCATATCTATGTTACTTCAACGATTTACTATTGCACTCCTTCTGCGCAACTGACCGGCCAAAACAGATTTTCACAAGGTGTATCACAGAATAACCAGAAAGTTGGTTTCTTTGGTACTTGAGGAACCGCATTTTTTGTTATTCTATGGCTATACAGGCTGTACTTTGTAGTGTAGCTGGTCCAAAACCATTCAAAAACTAAAAAGCTCTTTAACTTAATACGTTATTTTGGTGTTATATTTTAGTTCAAAATAAATGAAAGCTATTTTGATTGCAAGCAGTAATGCACAGTAGGATGCATAAAAAAGGTGCTTGTAATGATAAAAAAAGTTGATTTAGCATCACAAATCTACGAAGTCGAATCCACATCTATGTCGGCCAAAAAGCCGAAAAAAAATAAAAATAAGAACTACTCTGTCGTAATTAACCTAGAACACAAAAATTTCCTCCTGATAATTTAATTATTGACTGAGAACTTGTTGTAATATACTTATGACTAACAGAGAAACAGCTTTTAAAGATCAAATCAGGCGATTAAAAGGGCAGCAAGGATGAATTGTGATGACAAATTGCGGGCCCAAGTTTTTGGCACAAGCAATGTAACCACCTCTAAAGACAACAATGTATTTGTTCGTTACTAATGAAACAATACAATGAAGAGCTTTTTTTATGACAAAAATTATAATGTTCAATTCCATCTGCAAATCCTGAAGAATCCGAGATAATTGGATCAAATGATGAATTAGTGAATTAACTTGCGAAAGACACATCAGTGATGCTCACTTCTATTTTAGAAATGGCACGTGAAGTTTATTTGAAGCCGTTCTGTGTTTAGCCACTTTATGTACAACTGGTCTTTCTTTTCTACCAGATCTTCTATTAATTCGTCCCCCCATATTGTAATACTTTTATTTTTGTTTCTTATGCCTAATGTTCTATTGGCTGCTTGATGTAGGTTATTTATCATATTTTGATAATTTTCTTTAAAAGACAATCCTGTGGAGAGTTTTAGTTCTTTATTTAATTTTTGTTAATACAATCATCTTGTATGCTATTTAAGTTGTACTGTGGATATTCGATGCTTCCAATATTTTCCAAGTCTTTATTTAGTCTTTATTGATACAGGGTTCTTTGGATTATTCCAGCAGGGAACATATATCATAGCTCTACATGCATAAAGATTGGATCCACACGTAATTCCTCTTTGTACTTTGATGTCATGTATATGCAGTTTTGAGTCTTGTTTGACGATGACGTAGTTAATTATGGAGTTTATGTGCGGTGCCTGTTGTTTCCAGGTGAATTTGTGTACCAATATCACCTCTTTGAGATTCCTCTTTCAGCCCTTTGATCCTTAGGCACTCCACTATATTTCTTTTAGTCTTTGTTAGAATTAGCTAAAAAGGCTAAAATCGTTTAAATGATGATTGGAAAAATTTAGAAATAAATTCCATCGTAGATACATTACCAGATTTAAGAACAAGTAAAAAAATTTTTGATGGAAACTGACTATAATAAATCTTTTTTTAGATTAAAAAATGAATTGAAATGAGACCTACAGTAGTTCCATAAAAAAATATGTTATGCATAAAAGACCTTATCTGTTAGATAAACAACTTTTTATCTCATTTATTTATTTTATCTAAAAACACCAAAAATATCCGCACCTAATTTAACAGAACCTATTAATTAAATGATTAAGTTCTTAAGTAAGAACTTTCTAGAAAAAAATTATATTTTTTTGCAAGTCATTCAAATCATTAACTCTTCTTAAGATTGAGTATGAGTTTGTAAGCAAACTACTAAACTTCCACAGCAGAAAAATTGAGATTGACAACCATGATCAAAAATCGTCAGGTTTCACTGCAAGATACTGTTATTTTCAGCATTTTACAAAATCCTCATTCTCAAGCGAAACACGATTAAGGTAGATTGGTGTAAGCACAGAAGAAAAACTGAGTAGAGGGAGTTGAGGCATGAAAGATACCAGGCAGAGATTAGATAGAGAATGTAGTTGAATATTGCTTGAAAGGAGAAAAAATTGGTTGATCACAGAAGAAAGAAACTAGAGACTAGAAATAGAAGAAAAAGATTGAATAAAGACTGAAGAAAAAAGAAATATGTTGAACAGAGACGAAATAGACAAGATTGGAAATGGTTATAGAAGAGAGGGATTAAGAGAGAAACAGACTGTGCACAGAAGGCGGAAAAAAAGGCTGTTACGAAACTACTATCAGAAGAAAGAGATAGATTAAAAGCAGAAAAGACCAGGAAAAAATGGGTAAAATAGAGGTAGATAGAAAAGAAGACATAATGGCAACAAAAGTATTAATGAGAGAATAAGCACATAGAACTACTAGAGAGAGAAAAAATTACTGCGACAAGAGGAGGTAGACTGGAATGGAGATTGAACAATGATCGATGAAAAGACATTGGGGAGAAAGGAAGAAGACTGGAAAGGGATTATAAACCAACAAAGGCATAGATATAAAAAAAAAGGTGCTAAAACGAGATTGTAAAAAAAAGCAACTCAGTAAGAAAGAGAATTGACTTGACAGAACTGGTAATATCAGAAAGAGGCTGATCAAGAAAAAAAGGTTAAAATTGTTTAAAAGATGTTTGGGAAATTTTAAAAATCGATTCAATCGTAGATTAACAGATTTAAAAAACAAGTAAAAAAGATTTTTTAATTTAAACTGATTATAAAAAATCTTGCTTTTTAGATCAAGATAATCAAAGCTTTGTTCGAGCCTAATGAAGAAGTTAAAGCAAAGTTAATAAAAGTCTTAATTGAAGAAACTTTTCCGTTTTATTTAGAAAGACTTAATAAACAAACTGTTGGTGGATATTTTATAATTGGAAAAGTATTACTCTAAATTAATTTTTATATTAATTATTAATGTGTTACCTTGAGCGGATTTTCATGCATTAATCATTTTGCAAGCCGTCGAGCTTATTACCAAAAAAAACCTCAACCCGGAATATCCAAATTTAGCTAAAGTAATCGAAAACGTAACAAACATCCCACAGATTAAAAAATGAATTGAAGTGAGACCTATAACAGTTCCATAAAAAAATATGTTATGCATGAAAGACCTTATCTGTTAGATAAACAACTTTTTATCTCATTTATTTATTTTATCTAAAAACACCAAAAAAATCCAGTCCTTATTTAACAGAACCTATTAATTAAATGATTCATCTAAGAACTTTCTAGAAAAAAAATAATGTTTTTTTGCTAAATCATTCAATATCTTACAAAAAAATTCTAAATTTGTGCAAATCATTAACTCAATCTTAGGATTGTGTATGAGTTTGTAGTAGGCAAACTCAATGCCACCACGTCATTGAAACCTATAAATATCTCGCATTCTTAACGACTCAAACCAGTTTTCCCTCGAATTCCATACGGTTAATATCGTCAATTATTGTTCAAAAAAACAATTTTTTTTAAAATGGCGCCAAAACTAACATATTTTAATGGAAAAGGTCTCGCGGAATTGGTGAGATTATTGTGCAAATACGGAGATGTTGAATTTGAAGATGTTCGTATTGAACGTGAGCAATGGCCCGAATTAAAACCGACCACTCCGTTTGGACAAATGCCGCTTTGGGAGGAAAATGGAAAAGTTGTTTCGCAAAGTGTTGCAATTGCTAGATATGTAGCGAAAAAAGTTAAATTAGTTGGTGCAAATGATTGGGAAAATTTGGAAATTGATGCGATTGTTGATACAATAACCGATTTAAGACTAAGTAAGTTAGAAAGTTGCTTTAACAATTTATTTAATGATACATTTTTAATAATTTTAATAGAATCTAGTCCGATATTCTACGAACAAGATGAAACGAAAAAAGCTGCGTTATTAAAAACTTTCTTGGAGGAAACTTTACCGTTTTATTTAGATAGATTTGAAAAAATGGCTGGAAGTGGTCATTTAGTTGGCAATAAGGTAATTAACTTATTATTAATAATTTTCTTTTGCATAGATTATTTTTTTTAGTTAACCTGGGCAGATTTCTATCTAGTAACTGTAAACGATGCTTTAACACGAGTTTCTGGAAAAGCAGTTGATTCTAAATATGTTAATCTTTATAAAGTTATTGAAAATGTTACTTCTATTCCACAAATTAAGAAATGGATTGAAACTCGCCCCATCACACCATTCTAATGTATTCTTTTTATAATTAATGATTTAAGAAACAATAAAATTATAAATATTAAGATTTAATTTAATGTTTTATTTTTCTTTTCCCTGAACTTTGAAATTAGTAAGAAAATAATATAAACAGGTGTATACAACTCAACATACATAACATATATTAAGGAAGCCAACTTACTCAACAGATAGAAGTAAAATTTCGGACCTGCTTGATTGTTTTATTACGAAAAATTTATCGCTTTACTTCGTAAACATAGAACAAGAGTTAGGGCTGGACTCAGATCACTCACCAGTAATTATTACTCTAAATAACAAAGTATGTAACAAACAGAACTATTTTTATCACTAACTAATAAACTCACTAACTGGAATCTATTACAAACTAACAGCCGAATTAAGAGCATTAACAGATAGCCACAAAGAAAATAATATTCAAAATTACTTAAAAGACCTTACTGACGATGCCAGTACTGATTATTCTCTGTGGAAGGCAACAAGAAGGCTTAATGTTCCAAAAACACATACACCTTCAATTTGAAATAATAATGAAAATTGGACCAAAAGCAACCAAGAAAAAGTTAATTTGTTTGCTGAACATCTGAAAGAAACTTTTACATCAGACAGTCGAACAACTATGCTAAATAGTGTCCCTAGCGTAATTCAAAGTGATCAGCAGAGTAATATACCATGTGTAAGAATGAAAGAACTGTATTATGAAATACAAAAACTAAATATAAAGAAATCAGCAGGCTATGACCTAATTAATGGAGAAACATTGAAACATCTACCAAAACGGGCGATTACAAAACTATTACAAATAATTAATGCTGCTTTTAAACAGAAATACTTCCCAAGTAACAACCTGGTAAACCCCCCACAGATGTTACATCACATAGGCCAACCTCATTATTATCCTTACTATCAAAACTGCTTGAAAAATTACTATTAAAAAGACTAAAACCTGTCATAGAAGAAAAAGCCCTAATACCAACCCATCAATTTGGGTTTCGGAATAAACATGCAACAATAGTCCAAGTGCATAGAATAACGAATACTATCGAAATAGCAATGGAAGAAAATAAAGTCTGCTCCGCCGTATTTTTGGATGTTGCACAAGCTTTCGACATGGTCTGGTTAGATGGTTTAAATTACAAACTAGACCAAATACTACCATCAACGTATACTCAACTATTAAAATCGTATCTTTCTGCTCGATATTTTAGAGTAAAATACGAAAACGCTTATTCACCACTACATGAAATACGAGACGGAGTTCCTCAAGGAAGTGTGCTTGGCCCAACACTGTACTTACTCTACACATTCGACCTTCCTCAGGTATCAGAAACTTTAACAGCTTCATTCGCAGATGACACAGCGATCTTGGCTGTTGCAGAAAATGAAGTAGTTGCAGCAAATAAGTTACAATTGGCCTTAAATTCAATAGAAAACTGGACCAAACGATGGCTAATAAAACTAAATACAAATAAATCGACATACATAAACTTTACTTATAAGAAAGTAAAATATGTCCCAATACACATAAATGGCAATGCAGTCCCTTACGCCGACACCGCAAAATATCTTGGTATGACACTGAATCCCAAACTCAAATGGAAAGCTCACATAAAAAAAAACGTGAGGAACTTGATATCAAGTTTAGACACCTATATTGGCTTATTGGCAGAAAATCAACGCTATCACTAAGAAACAAGTTACTAATATACAAGCAAGTATTAAAACCAAAATGGACATACGGAATCCAACGGTGGGGTTGTACCTGCAAGACAAATGCAAATCTGATTCAAAGATTCCAGAACAAAGTACTAAGGTGCATAATAAATGCACCTTGGTATATAAGAAACACCGACCTCCATCGCGACTTGAAAGTAGCATCGGTGTCATCAGAAATTGCATCATTCGCATCTAAACATGAGAAGAGAATGCACGATCATCCCAACATCGAGGCCATCCAACTTCTCGACAATGAGGATGTCCTGCGTCGCCTTCAGAGGATGAAGCCATTCGATTTAGTGACCTAGTGCCCAAGTCGATTCAATCGCGAGCAATAGTGCGGAATTATAACAAAAACAATAATACCCTAAACGCGTGTTCAGCGTATCGCAGTGTGCGCATTTTTGTGTTTTGGTCTTAAAACGGTAAAAATATGACAATATTTATCTATATTATGGGTAAAGCAGACTGGACCACTGGGAAAAGCTGCAAAACATTATCTAGTTTAATTTGGTGTTAAAAATAAGTAACTAATTAGTATGTATTTACTAGGTGTTATACAATTGTGCTATGCATAATATAGAAAAAAAAAATAACGTATATTAAGTGAAGTGTTCGCAATGAGTTAAGTATCAGTAAACATAAGCAAAATCAATTATATGCTGATAACAAAAGCAACTCAAAACAACCGTAGAATATATGTAAACAATCACCGATTCAAAGGATAAGAGAATTGAAATCGACACTACCAAGTCAAGCGACATTTACGTCGTATTAAAATAGGCATTTGCTCAAACTCTAACTCAATATTATAGCGATTGAAGTTTGCGGTTATGTTGTTCACTATTGGATGCAGATTTAAAAATCCTGTTCAACACGAAAACCCAAAATCAAAACGAAGAAAATAAGTTAGAGCGGTGTAAATTTAATTTGCAAAGTTTTAGTCAAGAATCCGTGCAATTCCTGTACAAACTTTGTCTATATAGCAAACAAATTACTCGCAGTTCGTGTAGGAAATGACAATGCTGAGCAAATATATCAGAAAATATAAAAAAGCATACATGACGCAGGAAGCCTTGGACTACAGAGAAGCTGCAAATGAAATAAATCAAGACCCTTATCAACGTTGCGCGTTGGTTAAATACACAGGACAGTACTGACAGACAGATATATATATATATATACACAATACAGCAAAAAAGTGAAAAGCGAGGCAATTCGAAGCAAAAATAAAATATGGAAGAAAAACATGCTGAGTTAGATAGAAACATGGATAGAACAAAGGTCTTGCAATTGATTAGTATGATGTATATGAGTAGAATGATTCATGGAAAAATCATTGTGAAACATTGCTAAACGAGGATCGCGCAGAATTCAACTTGCGTGACATATATATAGAAAAACCTGTTCCCATAAAAATGCTGTATTTTATCCTGACGAAAACTGGCCTCCCAGAACTATCATTAATGTGGAAAACTCAATATCTTCTCATTTTCGACAATGAAAGGTTTTAAGCAGAGATTTTGCCTATCTCTTAACTTGTTTAAAATATACATCCAAGAAGCGTTGAAAACATGGAGAAAACAATTTTCGAAAATGGTTAGGTATGGAGATGGAAGATGAAAACTTGACAACCCTTTTCTTTGCTGATGATGAAATTATTGTAGCAAATAAAGAGTATGATATTGACTTCATATTTAGGAAACTCATGGAAGAATGTTGGAAGCGGGGAATGAATGTATAGTAATAGGGAATGACATGAGTGGTCCTGAACTACAAATATACAACAAAATAGGAAGGTGTAAGGAGTATAAATGTACAGGCAGAATAATTTAGAAAGAAGGAACATCTGCTAAAGATATCCAGAACTGTTCATACAATCAAATAAAAAATATCGTCGTCATTAAATATAAAGAGGTAATTTGAGAAACAGTAAAATTATATACATTAAGACTTTACTAAAGACTTTTATTTTTCTTTTCCTTAATTTCAATTCAATCTTACCTAAATTTTAGTATTGTTCTGAAGATGTTTTAAACTTTTCTTAAAACAGTCAAAGATAAAAAAGGTATTTAGCATATTAGGTAGTTTAACATATGCTATTTTAATAGAAATTTTTGTTTCCACATATAACATATTATTTTTATTAATACATTAATCACTATCATCAAACTTAATGTGTTTCCCCAATTCTTTCTCAGCCTTTTTTAATAATTTATCCCTACCTCTATGTTTTTTAGTTTGTTTCTCAAACTTTTTATTTCGTTCTTCTTGAATTTTCAACCAATAATCCTCTTCATCTTGTCCCTCCAAAATAATAGCTTCATCCTTAAAATTTTCGAAACAAAACTTTTTCGCACTCTCGCTATTTAAAAATCTCACAAAAACGTCATCACTTTCTTTAGAAACATCAATATATTGAATATTCGTGGATAGTGATTTTAGTTCGGCTTTAATTTTCTTTTGATCATACAATTCGGGAAATTTTGTTTTAACAATAACGCCAGGAATAAAATCGGTTTTTGGTTTAATATTGTTTTCAGGGACGGATTCTGGAACTTCTTTGGAGTCTTCCCATGTGTATGGACTTTTTTTCAGTTTTGTTTCATCGAGTTTAGTGGAGAATTTTTTCTTGTAAAGGTATTGCTTTAGTTGGCGCATTTTATCACGTTGATTATTGAGGTATTTATTTCTCATTTTCTTCCATTCATGTCTGAAAGTGAAATAAAATTATTAGTTTTATTTTAATGTTTAGATTTCATAACTTACTTAGAAAAAATTTGTATTCCTAATTCTTTAAAATTATTTTTATTCCTATTCTTTTTACTTTTCTTTTTTTTCTTTTCTTCACTCTCATCACCATCAACATTACTCCCATTTTCTTCATTTTTCTCTTCAACTCTCACCTTTTTATTCTCGGCATCGTTTTCAATACTTCTTTTTCTCTTCTTTTGATTCTCTTCAACATCTTCATCAACTTTAATTTCTTCTTTAACACCATCTTTTTCTTCACCTTCAAATGTAGTTATGCTACAAAGGTCTTCTGGAGCCATTTGAGATGACATTTTGCACCCGATTTTTTCAAAATATTCCAAAACATTTTTCACATCAGCTTCTTTTTCAAATTCAACAAAAGCAAATCCTTTATTTACTTTACTATGTTTATATTTTGGAATAGAAATATACACAATGTTTCCAAATTCGCAAAATAATGATGATATCCAATCATGTGTAGCATCAGCTTTGATTCGTTCAACATAAATTGTACATTCATCAACATTTTCGCGGATATTTAACGGAGTTTTTCGTTTAACTTTGGTTTTATCTTCAGAAATTTCTAAAAGCTCAGATCGTTTTAATGCTTTCACTATATCTTCAATATTTGAGGTTAGTTTACGTATTTTATTAAATTTCATAAAAATAGAGAGGTCAACAACTAAAAAAAAAATAATGTATTAAACTATATGTGATTTATTTTATATTAATAAAGAATAAGTACTTACAATCATCTTTTTCAACTAACGGTAACAAAAACTTGTCTTTGGGGAGGTTAGAATCGCCAAAATAAAATTCCATTTGTTGCAAAATTGAATTGTAAAGCTGTTTTTTACGATGACGACCTTTTTTATGAACTTGTTCTTCCGTTGCTGATTCTAAATCCATTTTTGAATGTTTCTAAATGTTTCTATTTCAAACGTATTTTAAAAATGTTAAGGTTAAACAAGCAGCTTTTTAAGGTTAATTGAACTGTAGTTACCTGTATTACCGACCTGTTTAAGAAAGTTAAGAAATAAGTGTTTTAACAAATTTATAATTAAAAGGTACAAAAAAATGCTTTACACCGATATTTTCTTTTAAAACTAATTAAACAAGTTTTTTTAGCATCAACATAATTTTATTTAATTTATTTAAAGCGAATTAAAAATATGTTGCATATTGGGTTGCCTAAAATCTGATATTTAAAATTTATATTTATTAAACAATAAATTTATAACAAAGAATATTTTAAAAAGCGTTATTCATGAAAATACATCATAATGAATCGAACCAATCTGATTTATAACCAGTTATAACTCTCTCCAAAATATGATTAATGGTTGATTAAAATTGTTCATTTTCATATATCATTTACAAAATTTGCGACAGGGTCACTAAGCCCGATAAGTTCAAATTAGTCACATAAATAAAAATATCATTTTGCCTATTACTTATGCAATCTCAATCGTAGCGTTTCTAATTTTCATACTTTTCGCTGTCTACATTAACTCATTTTTTGTAAACTAATAATATCATTGATTAAATCTACCATCTGTAAAAAAAAGAGGAAATGGGATGAAATGAGGTATTTACTCACCATGAACTTACTCACTTACTCACCAATCCTGACACGATAGTCAGCACTTTGTTTCTATATCGTTCGGAAGTAACAGCAGCAAATAATACCTGTTCTTGTATGCATAAACGAAGATTTATGCACAAATAAATATAAATTAGTAGAGTTACGAGAACGGTATGAAGGAACAGATATTGTATTCAGTTAACAGGCGCCGGATGCCGCAGTGCATAAATTCTTTAGTTGCTAATAGGACTGAATGGACCAAATTGTAAACGTCGAAAAGTCCAACCAAACGACAACTCTCAATCGACATCCTTAATTCCATAATGACGTCTTGGTAAGTGAGGGAAAGAGAATTTCCGATACCAAGGAAATATTGGGACCAACAGAATCGCGGAAGTAGACAAAACGCAACACTTGTAGTGTATGGTAGCTACAGTGAGATGATAAATGTCGAGCAAGTCATACTTAACTGATTCTTCCTAAAATCAAGAAATGGTGTAATAGAAAACGAAGCGAGATCAGTTATTATACCACCGAACTTTTAGCACGAAACGGTTTCTTTTGTAATAATTATCCTATAATTTTATATTATGACTTCATGACAAAGGTATTAAATGATAATGAAACCTAATGGAGGCAGCATCTCCTTAAAATCAGTGATAAGAAAAAGTAGCATGAGGATATTTGATAAGTGGAAAAATATATTATAATGTATGTTATTAAGTTGAGATTTATTATAAAAGGTAAACAAAATACCATTTTGTTTTATTTATATATAAACAACATATAAACACTGTAATCCATATCTCAACAATCGATTGGCTTCTCTCAGTCCATCATGGAATCATCAATAAATACAAATACAAACACCATTAAAGAACCCCCAAATTATTAATAAGACATCCAAACACTACAACTATTGGTCTGCACATTTTCTATACAAACGAGAGTTTCATTCAGTATAGAGCCCAGGAATTTTATGGTTTGATTTCTTACCTCACCTCCTTGTTTAATGTAAAAGGTGCCTTTTGGTTTTATCTGCATTCAGATTTAATTTATTGGTGTTAAACCAGTTTTCTCGTCGTATTGTATGCTTTGTTTGGGTTTTAAAATTTCAATATTTGTATCTACATATATTTATAAGTGAAGTATCGTCGTCATATAAGCACATAGAGCTTGTTGGAATATTTTCTGGTAAGTCATTTATATACAAAAGAAAAAGAAGTGGTCCCAATACCGAACCCTGTCATCATATCTTTTAGTTCAAATTAACGGTCTTTCCAGTACAGGCACTGTTTTCTTCCAAACAGATAAGATCTCATTAGTTTCAATGCTCCACAATGAAACCCATATTTACACAAAAGTATCTCATGATCAATGCTATCAGAAGCCTTACTGAGATCACAGAAAGCTATCTGTGTAAATTGTTGAAGATCAAAACCTTGTATAATTTCTTGTACCAAAGTTAGAAGTGCTGTAGTTGTAGATGTACCTTTCTGATAACCGTGCTGGAAGTTTTGTTATAATATTATTTTCTTGTACAATCATGTCTTTTAGTATAATTTCAAAAACTTTTGATAAGCTTGGTAATATTGATGTAGGTCTGTAATTTTTACAATCATTAATGTTCTAATTATTATATAAATCCATTTTCATCGATATTATTAAGGTAAATTGAATAAATATTATTTTCTATTTTACTGTTAATCGATGTATTAATTTAAATATTTCCTTTACATGTTTCGGCTTATTAGGCCATCATCAGAAGGTTTGACGTTAATATGGTTGGAGAGGAATTGGAACATTAATTTAACTTTATATTACTAATAACATCAAGGGAACGATGTTCATTTAATTGGGACGAGATTGGACAAAGCTCGTCCCAATTAAATGTTATTAGTAATATAAAGTTAAATTAATGTTCCAATTCCTCTCCAACCATATTAACGTTAAACCTTCTGATGATAGCCTAATAAGTCGAAACATGTAAAGGAAATATTTAAATTAATACATCGATTAACAGTAAAATAGAAAGTAATATTTATTCAATTTACATTAATGTTCTGTCGGAGAAACTCCATCCTCTATACATTTGTTTAGAACTTTACACGATTGTTTGGAAATCATTGTATCGATGGATTTTAATAGTTTTACTGATAATCCGTATATATCTTTCGTATTTTTAGCGTTCAAAGCTCGTATAACGTTTATTATTTCTGGCTCCTTAAATTGTTTAAAATTCCCTATCTTGAATTGGTATTGATTTCGTCAAGGTTGGTGTATGAGTTCAATCGTGTGGTTCCAACACTAATAAAGAAATCGTTTAGTGTATTTGCATCTAGATTAGCATGATTTATATTAGTGGTGGAACGGATATCCGGCAACTATCCGGCCTATTACTTAGTACTCCACCATTCACAGGAATTAGTATCTCTTTTACGTGTTGGACACTGCAGATTCAACCCCAATAGGACTTTTTTCATTGAATACAACTTTATTTATCATTAGCAACCTCATTGTAACAATCCCAATACGATACATAATATTTCTTGTTGCAGTTTCGTCTAGTTTTCTTCTATAATTCTATAATTCATCATCACATTCATTACTAACAGACCTGTCGCTGTTATCATTTTCGATTATTAATTAAAGTATCCTCTTTTTAATACAAAAAGCCGTTTTGAAAAATCACTTTCAGTTCTTAAGAAATAAATTTTTGAAATGATCGACAATTTTTTCGAATTTTTCAATTTTCGCCGATTAAGTTTTAAAAATTCGTATAAAATCGATTTCTTTGAATATGAGTACGAAAATTTCCCAAAGTATTAATAAAAGTGGCCTCTTTCCAATGAACCAACCCGTTTTGAAAAATAACTTTTAGTTTTTGAGAAAACAATATTTAAAGTTTTGATAAAATTTTCGATGTTGCAATTTTCATCGATAACTTACAAAATTCGCTATAAAATTAATTTTTTGAAGGATCCTTGTGAAAATATCAGCAATTATTAATTAAAGTATCCTCTTTTTAATGCAACAAGCCGTTTTAAAAAATCACTTTCAGTTCTTGAGAAATAAATTTTTGAAATAATCGACATTTTTTTCGAATTTTGGAATTTTCGCCGATTAAGTTTTAAAAATTCGTATAAAATCGATTTCTTGGAATATGAGTATGAAAATTTCCCACAATGTCAATAAAAGTGTCCTCTTTCCAATGAACCAACACGTTTTGAAAAATAACTTTTAGTTTTTGAGAAAACAATATTTGAAGTTTTGATAACATTTTCGATGTTATCCGATCGAATGGGATCCGGCTTTTCGCAAAATCACTATCCGTTCCTTCACTAATTTATATATCTCGTTCTTTTTTTGTTTTATGTGTTTCCTCTTTTACTAATTACCATGCAGCCGATATTTTATTGTCAAACAAATGTATGTATTTTCCATATGCGACTTTCAATATATTTTGCTCACATCAATTTTTAAAATACACAAAAAGAAAACAGAAACGTTGATATGTAACATTCATGCACTTACAGACTTTATGAATAAATGTAGCCAATAAAATGGTTAGATGTACGTCTCAAATTTCATCAATTATGTTACTGGTGCTTCAAGCAGTTATAAAATTTAATATGAATATGAGAACAGTTAATAATATCGTGTTCGATTTATTAACGAGTCAGTAATATTGCATTGAGATTGAAAAATTCTCGGACAAAAATCAAAAATTCAAGGTAATTTATAACTTTAAAGGATTAATCACTAATCTAGCGCAAGTTAGAATAATGAATAGTGCCCATAAGAGTCAATAATTGACAATAATTAACAGTAATTATTACTGTTATTTTTTGACTTTTTAAGTTTTTTGGTTTTTTCGAGATCTAAAAAAGAATTACAACAAAATTGGAGCCAAAACTAAAACTCTATTAGTACAAAATTTATTTGTAACTGTTTTGTTAACATGTGCAAAATAAGTAATATTTTTAGCTACTTAAACAATAAGTAATAAATGTAATGTGTTTTTAAATAACACTTTTTTTTTTATTTTGAATAGAACAAAGAACATAACTATATCGATACTAACAAAGATAAAGGAATAAAGTAATTATAAGAGAGATTACTGAAACGATTGTAAAGCTAAAAAAAGGTTATTCACGTTTAAATGGCATGAAACTCACTTGAAACGTACATGATAATCTCATATAATACTTTTTTATAGCTAATCAATCAAAATAAAGCAAAGTTATTTATTAAATTCTAACACCTTTCAAACCGAGACAGAAAAAAACAATACTTATCTAAGCTATTTTTGCATATCTAATCATTTATAACAGCGAGACTTGTTGATTGTCATTGGGGTTTATTAAATTTATGTCAAGACGACGAGATTTCAAGTAACAATGGCCAGGTACTTATGATATATCTGATATAAAATTG